TTATAGACCCATAGACATGACTAACAGTGCGCCTTTTGGATTTGTTTTAAAGGGACACTATAGTCACCAGAACAACAATGTATTTGTTCTGGTGAGTATAGTCTGTCCATGCAGGCATTTTAATGTAAAAACTGCCTTTTCAGAGAAAAGACAGTGTTTACATTAAAGCCTAGTGACCACTCCTCAGATGGAGAAGTTGAAAATTCCTCATAGAGAGGCATTAATTCAATGCCTCCCTATGAGGAGATGCTGATTGGCCAGGGTGGCATTTGGCTCCTCCACTGACCCGCCTCCTTGACTGAGATCATCAGATGACATTGAGATCATCAACCGAGAATTGATGATCTCAGACAATCACATAGCTATCCCATAGGAAAGCATTGGATTGGCTGAGATCATCAATTTTGATGATGTCAGACAAGGATGCGGCACAGGGGCAGGGCCAGACAGTCTCTGAGCCACCTGGAGAAAGGGCTGGAAAATGGTAAGTAAATCACTTTTCTCACCGGAGGTAAAGGGGGCCGACCACCTAAACAGTGGTTTTAGAACTGTAGTGACAGGAATACACGTTTGTGTTCCTGACACTATAGTGCCCCTTTACGTTTTTACACATTTTAACATCTCAGTTACACTATGTATTCTTTTTCTTTTCTATTTGGAGAATTACTCTTATGACATAAATATTTTCTGCATGAGATGCTTCACCTATTCTCATAGGCGTGCGCAGCCTATTGCATTAGGGTGTGCACCCTAAAGCACAAGCCGCATATATATATGTATGTGTGTGTGTGTGTGTATATATATATATATATATATATATATATATACACATACACATATATACACACACTGCTGTGTGTGTGTGTGTGTGCTGTGTGAGGGTGCTGTTAGTGTGATGTGTGTGTGACGATGCTGATAGTGTGCTATGTGGGTGAGGGTGTTTGTGTGTGCGTGCTTGTGAGGATGCTGTTAATGTACTGTGTGTGAGGGTGCTGTTTGTGTGTGTGTGTGCGCTTGTGGGGGTGCTGTTAATGTACTGTGTGTGAGGGTGCTGTTTGTGTGTGAGGGTACTGGTAGTGTGCTGTGTGTGTGTTTGTTAGGGTCCTGTTTGTGTTTGTGGGGGTACTGTTAGTGTGCTGTGTGTGTGTGAGGGTGCTGTTTGTGTGCTGTGTGTGAGGGTGCTGTGTGTGTGTGGGTGCTGTATGTGTGTTGGTGCTGTGTATGTCTGTTGGTGCTGTGTATGTCTGTGGGTGCTGATGTGTGTGGGTGCTGTGTATGTCTGTGGGTGCTGGATGTCTGTGGGTGCTGGATGTCTGTGGGTGCTGTGTATGTCTGTGGGTGCTGTATGTCTGTGGGTGCTGTGTATGTCTGTGGGTGCTGTATGTCTGTGGGTGCTGTATGTGTGTGGGTGCTGTGTATGTCTGTTGGTGCTGTATGTGTGTGGGTGCTGTATGTCTGTGGGTGCTGAATGTGTGTGGGTGCTGAATGTGTGTGGGTGCTGAATGTGTGTGGGTGCTGTATGTGTGTTTGCTGTATGTCTGTGGGTACCGTGTATGTCTGTGGGTGCTGTGTATGTCTGTGGGTGCTGTATGTCTGTGGGTGCTGAATGTGTGTGGGTGCTGTATGTGTGTGTGCTGTATGTCTGTGGGTGCCGTGTATGTCTGTGGGCGCTGTGTATGTCTGTGGGTGCTGTATGTCTGTGGGTGCTGAATGTGTGTGGTGCTGAATGTGTGTGGGTGCTGAATGTGTGTCTGTGGGTGCTGAATGTGTGTGGGTGCTGTATGTGTGTGTGCTGTATGTCTGTGGGTACCGTGTATGTCGTGTGCTATATGTGTGTGGGTGCTGTGTATGTCTGTGGGTGCTGTGTATGTCTGTGGGTGCTGTGTGTCTGTGGGTGCTGTGTGTCTGTGGGTGCTGTATGTGTGTGGGTGCTGTATGTGTGTGTGGGTGCTGTGTATGTCTGTGGGTGCTGTGTATGTCTGTGGGTGCTGTGTGTCTGTGGTGCTGTGTGTCTGTGGGTGCTGTATGTCTGTGGGTGCTGTATGTGTGTGGGTGCTGTATTTGTGTGGGTACTGTGTATGTCTGTGGGTGCTGTGTATGTCTGTGGGTGCTGTGTGTGTGTGTGTGCTGTGTGTGTGGTGCTGTGTGTCTGTGGGTGCTGTATGTCTGTGGGTGCTGAATGTGTGTGGTATGTGTGTGGGTGGGTGATTGTGGGGGGTGGAGGTGGGGGTACATTAATTGCTATCCCCCCTCCCTTCTTACCTTATGTAGGGAGGGGGGATTGTGGTCCTGGTGGTCCAGTGGAGGAGGGGATCCTTGTTGCTGCTGTGATCCCTGGTGGTCCAGTGGAGGAGGGGATCCTTGTTGCTGCTGTGATGCCTGGTGGTCCAGTGGAGAGTGAACTCTAACCCCTGTGGGGCTAGAGTTCACTGTCGCGAGATTTGAGCGTTGCCGTGGCAACGCTCATATCTCGCAAGAGGAACCCGGCGGAGCTGCCGGCAATACCTCCGCCGGTCCTCTCCTGCCTCCCTCTCTGCATGTGGGTCAGTGGGGAGGGAGGCTGAGAGCAGAGCCGGCGCTCGGATAGCGCCGGCTCTGCATGAGCCGACAGGGGAGATCCTGAGATCTCCCCTGCCGGTCTCAATACACATAGGCGTGCGCGGGATTAGGGTGTGCCCAGGCACACCCGGCACACCCCGTGCGCACGCCTATGCCTATTCTTGCATATTTATTTTGAAAAATGTTGTTGTTTTTCTGTTCAGTTAACACTTCACTGGTGTATAGCGACTGTGTTTAATATTTTCACATATAGTCTTCATTTTTATTGCATTTTTAACATTTGGTTGATTTATAATTGACAGGGAAAGAAAAACTGCCTCCCTTCATGCCCAAAAGGTAAGTAAGAGAAGGGCAGCAATAAAGTTTAAAAAAGAAGAAAAAAGTATGTGGTTAGGATGAACATGGATGCATAGTTGCTCTATCACGCCACCACTCACACCCCAAAATCCAGTGTGCCCACCACCCACTCCCCTCACACAGTCACCAATTAAATATTTTGTTTCCAGTAAATAACATACTGTCTTTTCAGGACACACAAAATACTCTAATTCTGGTGTGTTTGTTATTTTGGCTACTGTTAACATTTTGTTTACATGCTAATGTTTTATTGCTCCACTGCCGGCATTATGTCGCGCAGTACTTTTCTGTTCCAATTAATGTGCATATTTATGAGCTCTCGAGTGTCTGGACCTTTTTCTCTTTAGGGTTGTGCTGACCCTTGTTTAGCTTTGCACCCATTTTTATATCTCTGTTGGACGAGGGCAGTTCCTGCTTTTTGTTGATTCTGGATGATACCGCCCACCGGCCGGGGAGACCTAATACGCATGGGCATCAGAGCTCTCCATAGGAAAACATTGAAAATGTTTTCAATGCTTTCCTATGGGGAATTGAGCGACGCTGGAGGTCCTCACACAGGTTTTCTGTGCTATAGAGCAGGAAGTGCCCTCTAGTGGCTGTCTAGTAGACCGCCACTAGAGGTGGAGTTAACCCTGCAAGGTAATTATTGCAGTTTACAAAAAACTGCAATAATTACACTTGCAGGGTTAAGGGTCGTGGGAGTTGGCACCCAGACCACTTAAATGGGCAGAAGTGGTCTGGGTGCCTGGAGTGTCCCTTTAACTCCACTAACCATATCTCCACCTCATCCCTCTCTCATTTGCAAAAGGAAGACTACTTATCATAAATGGACCTTTTTTTCCAGGACGACATGGACAATAATAAAACAGACACATAACACACCATTTCAAAAGCTTTCCAGTCGCAATTTTCACTTCCAATCGTCACAATCATTAGCTCCTCAGGTTGGAAAAATGAAAGAATATCTTTGTCACAGACTTTGTATAATCCTCTCTTGAACTCTTCAAATATCTCGACGACAGATGAGTTGAATATGTAGTCAATGCATTTATCTACGTATTCATTCCTTTAAAAAAGGCAAAACATAAATAGTACATTAAATTACATCAAAACCAGCCTTCCATTCATCCCATAAACCAACAAAAAAAGAAAAATCCATGAATATAATTTTTACATTTCTGCTACATGTTCCCTTTGAAGTGAAAGGGCTTGTACTTCACTTAATGGGTTTTTAATTGGAATGTGTTTTAATCAGTATTGTCTGTAGTCTCTTCTATGAGAAAGCAGCTTGTAACTTGAAACCCTGATTTCCCAGATAAATGTAGGAGACTTGTAGGCAGGGCCAGATTAAAATAGAAAAAACACAACAGGTGTGGGAAAGATGGCGCTTTGTGATGGATAAATTAATTATTTGATAAAGCTGCAAATTATACTCTGTGTGTACTCCAAAATCCCACTACAATATATAAACACTGAAAACAAACAACTAAGGGCCTGGTTGGTGTTTCCACCTTCCCAACACTTGGTATGAGTGCAGCACTGTGTATGTGTTCACAGAAAAAAAACGGCACACAAAACATACACTTACCCCTCAGAATATACAGGGGTTATATATGAAAGAAAAAACAAGAGACAAAAAAATAGTATAATACTGTATGGCAAAACGTAAAGTACCGTAATTGTTAAGTGCAGTGAGTGAAAAAATAAACTCACATTTTATTGAGCCTTTTATATGGGTATAGGCTCTAAACACTTCAACTTCTGTACCTTTAAAGTAGGCAGCTGTACCCCTTTCGTGTAATTCGCTTCCCTTTATTCCTCACAGCAATGCATATAAAAGGGAAAGACAAAACACGAGACCTCTGGGTGCAGTATTATAGATGTTGGTAATTATAAATAATAAAAAGATGGGTGCTCACCTTTTCTAGAACCATTTTGTAACTGGCTCTAAGTATTTGAGTTTTGTGTCAAATTGTAGGGTGACACTACCCTTACCGGATCCAAGGTGCAAGATGAGATAAGTAGGTATATTTAATTTATTAAAATTATCAACACAAAAATATAAAATAAAAAATGTAGATCATATAATAAATACAATATATAGTGGTTTTCTTCCTCTCCTCCTTTACCAAAGTATTATACCTTTACCAAAGGAGGAGAGGAAGAGGACCACTATATATTGTATTTATTTTATGAGTAGAGAGCTGCTGTAACTTCCTATCCCCGCCTTTCTCCACACACACAGCGACCCCTACTGGCCGGTGCTGCTATTGCAGAGTAATCTGTGTTTATACGGAGAATAATACTGGCATTTGTATTGCTGGTATTACTGCAATATCAGCACCGGCCAGGCAGCCTCAAATAAATACTGGCCAGGTGGCAATCCTAAGAGTAGTGTGTTTTAAAAAATAAAAAAATAAATAATATATATATATATATATATTTTTTTTTTTTTAATCAATGGGCCTTTTCCATGGGCATGGGCCTGGAGCTGCAGCTCCATCAGCCCCTATGTTAATCCAGACCTACTTGTAGGTGATGATACAAAGTCTCATGTTTGGTTTTTCCTCAATATGTTGAAAGAGGCTCTTTGGGAGAATACATTTGTCAATATATTTTAAGGGTCTTTTTTTAACACGCAATCAATTACCACTATTGCACCAATATATGGTGTACATCGGCAAAAGAGTACAGCACGTTTGTCACCTGTTTTAGTAGCCTGATAGCATTCTTGGTAAGTCAACAATTTATCAGTACTGGGAAACCGCTAGTCACTATCTGGGAAAGGATTCTGGGAGTTTCAATTCAATTAAACCCTGATACATACGATTCAAAGTCTATATACATACTTGTTTGAATTGGTCACCGGAAATGTTGCTCCATTTGGGATCAATTCTACAGTTTTATTTTCCCAGGAAAACTGAAAATAAATTAAATATATATTAATATAAATAGATGGAAATAACACCTTATCCCTTTAACAATCTATGGAGAGATATTTTGCAGATGCATTAAAGAGGACTTGTGATTACCGGTACTTTGAATCAAAAAACTGAAAATCACCTATAACGCATGTTAACCTTTTTTTTTTTAATCTATAATGCTCTGTTTTCTTTTAAATGTAAATTAAAGTTTTAGTAATTGTTATCCCTAACCAGTCTAGTCATGGCACAGCCAGGGCACACAGTAAATTAAAGGAGGTTGGTTTATTCTCTCTACGGTCTCTCTATTCTGACTGACTCACTGACAGGGAGCTAAGATGGATGCCCTTAGTTTCCTAATAGAGCTAAATACAGCAGTGTGGATTTCCACATTTCATTGAAAAAACTGTAAAACTTGAATAAGGAAGTAAAAGTATGGTAAGTGTACTTTTGAGGAGTGTGTTTGTCAAATAAAACATTCATGACTTTTGTTCATACTGTACAAGTAGCGCATCTCCATGTTATTCTGTTATTCTGCTCTACAAAATATTCTGTGCGCTGTCACTAAACCAATACCACACAACTGAGACACAATCTATCCATGCTACCTCGGCAACCTTGTTGTATCTAAGTTTCTGTTGAGTGATTTAAAAAGTCTTGCTATCACATTCTACTAAGAATTCCCTGGGTTTCAGGTCACTTCAATCTGGTGCCATACATTTCAGGGCCCACTAGCTTGCTGTGGTGCTGTTGCAAGCTTTGCACTCATACTGAAGGCACCTGATTCTTCATTCAGCTGTTCCGCCTTTCTTAATTTGCTCCTATTTGTGAAGTGTTACTTTGACCAAAAGCAGTTTTAACTGAAAACACTGTTTTCAGTTAGAATAACCTTTTCTTCCTGTCATTTACCCTCCCCAGTCAAATGTAAAGAAAAGTTATATAGAGCGTTGATGGGCTAAGGGGGGGAAATGGGTGGCACAGGTGGGCTGTGCCGCCATTGGATGCGAGTTGCCAACATTATGAGCATGCTGACCACAGATGTCCAATATGAACAGAATTGATATTAGCTGCCCTGGCTAATGATGCCCCAAAGAAGCTGCTGGAAGTCGAATTACACCTTAAGCGGCAAAAGAGTTTTATAGCAAAACACTATGGAGGCACTCAGTTGCAGGATAAAAAGGTGTAGATTTCTACATTTAAAGGAATTCTCCAAGCACCATGACCACTATAGCATGCTCCCTGTCCCAATGTAAGTACTCAAACCATTTGCTAACAGTTTAACTTCTTTCTTGGGGTCTGCTGGGTGCCAGTGCCAGTCTGTGCAAGGCCAGCTAAGAACTCAACAGCACTGGATTTAGCTCAGAGTAGAGAACTTCAGGTTCTTATGGAGACAGAGGCTGAGATTAGCTAACCCTAGGTTCATTGTTAAACCATTTGCAGATGGTTTGACTACTGTGTGCTGCAGTGGTTATGGTGCTGAGAGTGTTCTTTTAATTGTACTTTGCACACCTCACAGAACATTTGTTAAATATAGGTATAAATAAACATATTTTTAATAATCATGTGAATCCAGTTCCGCTTTAACTACATTCTGTCTCTACACCGTTCCAGCCCAAACAATAGCAGCTGCCTGGTGGCATTTTGTGGACTTTAAATGAATCAATTATTAATGAGATGCCAATGTAATTAGTGTAATCAAGCAGCTGATTTATCCCTGGTGCTTTTCATGATAGAGAGAACATATAACTATATGGACAAATTAATAGATCTCTTAACTCTAGCGCTGAGTAGCTCATCTATCAAATTAAAGGATCTGTTTGTTTTTTGCGTAACTGATTTACTTAAGATTATCATTATAACTTCGCACAAGAAGCTCAATGGAACACTAACTGGTAAACATGCAGCTTAGGAAACGTGTATTAATGAAATGGGATCCTTTAATAAGATTAAACAAGTGATGTCATGGAAGATCTGGCATTACTAAGCAAAACTGAAAATAACTCAATACCTATTTGTAAGCAGACAAAGCTATGTGCTGTTGCCTAGTACTGTATAACATTTATCATTCTATTTTACTTGGTATAAATGTATTTGTTTGTTTTCCATCTCTCCTGTAAGTATTCCAGAACTCATCACCTACTATTATAGTTCAAATTATAAAATATTACACAATAATATTTACACAATTAGTTATAAAATATTACACAATCGTTAAATGCTAACATGGACCTTTGTAGTACATTTATTGTTTTCAGGTATGTGTCAGATATAGTATTTTTATAGGAGCACCTATTAGGTTGAACGAATTGCAAATGACAATGATAAGGGCCACAACTCTTCATTTCGGCTTCCATACCATTTAAATCGCTAATCCCTTGATTTAAAAAGATGCTCTAGGGGTGAGTCCACACATTTTTGCATAGAAAATATCGTTATTTGCCTTTAAACTTGTTTTGTCTTAATTAGTATTATTCTTATTATGATATTTATAGAGCACCGTCAAATTCCGCAGCGCTTTACAATGGGTGGACGAACAGACATGTAGTTGTAACCAGACAAGTTGGACACACAGGAACAGAGGGGTTGAGGGCCCTGCTCAATGAGCTTACATGCTAGAGGGAGTGGGGTAAAATGACACAAAAAGGTAAGGATAGTATTAGACTAATGACAGTTGCAGAAGAGGCATACTCCCTTGGTAAACTCATTAGCTCCTTTGGCTTCCAATATCATTTCTATGCAGATGACACGCAAATCTACCTGTCCTCTCCTGATCTCTCCCCGTCCCTCTTGACTAGTGTCTCTGACTGCCTCTGTGCTATTTCTAACTGGATGGCTGCCCACTTCCTTAAACTAAACTTGACCAAAACTGAAATTCTGGTCTTTCCTCCCTCAAGTGTTGCTACTCCTGTGTCTGTCTCCCTCCAAGTCAACGGTGCTACCATCAGCTCCACCACGCAGGCTCGCTGCCTGGTGTTCTCTTTGACTCCGACCTCTCCTTCAAGCCTCATGTTCAATCTATCGCCAAATCCTGTCATTTCCATCTCAAAAACATTGCGCGCATCCGCCCCTACTTAACACCAGATGCGACTAAGGTGTTGGTCCATTCCACTGTCCTTTCTCGCCTTGACTACTGTAATCCACTTCTCAGGTGTCCCAACTAGCGCCGTTACAGTCCATAATGACTGCGGCGGCGAGGCTCATCTTCCTGTCCGCCTGCACCTCCCATGCCTCACCCTTCTGTCAGTCCCTACATTGGCTTCCTATAAAATATAGAGCTCAATTTCAAATTCTGGTTCTTGCTTTAAACACTTTTTGCTACTTACACAGAAATTTAATTCAAGATTGTCCACTTTTTCAGCAACAACTATCTGCTGCATGCTCCTGTAAAAAAATATTTTATGAGTCATTTAGTGTTTTAAATCAGTTATTATACTATTCAGAATTTATTTCAATAAACGTGGAATTGTAAATTCCAAATTCTTGTAAATCAGACAGACATTCATTTACACGTTATTTTATTCACCTTACTCGCAATATTATTGGATGATTTCACTAAACCCAGAGTATGACTTACTGGATCCGAGTAGTTTAGGTCAAAATAAGCTAAAAAATAATTTATCTGACATCTCTCTCATTTCAAAATCACAACAATTTCCTTTCAAGCTGGCCTCTGGATTCTCGATCTACATTTAAGTTGTACATGACTCTATATTTCCATTAAATTTGGACATATCGAACTCACCCAGAGGCGGACTGGCAACGTTTGGCACAGAGGGCCCGTGCAGCAAATCAGCTCTCCATTTAAATAAAATAAAAAACATGGGAAGGAAATAATATGTCTATCTACATATCATATTTTAATACTGTTTAAAATAAATGTTAATTATAGGACTATTTAATCTGATATACATAAACAAACATCAATTAAACCAAAAACAGAAGAAGCAATATGTTTACTTTGGGGAATCAAGTAAGCAAGTCAAAAAACGAATTACACAAAATATAAAAAATGTCAACACTAGTGTTAGGGGGATCCCACATTTTAATAAAGGAACATTATTTCAGAAAATCGGCAAAGTTTACATTGCAGGGTTAAGACATCCACTAGTGGCTATCTACGAGACAACCACTAGAGGATGCCTTAACCCTCAATGTAAACAATGCAGATTCTCTGAAATAATGTTCCTGTAATAAAATGTGGATTTCCCTACTGCTAGTCTGTCAGCCAGCAACTAGGGGCACTTCCTGCATTCTCACAAAGTT